TCATATTAATTCCACACCGCTCAAAACGTTCCGCGACATGTTTATCACTGGGCGCTATATAACGCCATTGCATGCAGTCGTTAAAAAAACGAGCATTCGCACCAGTTACAGCTTCCCGCATGATCAATCATGGTATCCTAGTATACTACGGTGCACTGGTTAAACATAGACCAAACAAAGATAGTCATTTCAAACAGCTCAAGCCTTCCCGCGACAGATTGGTCATGGAGCACTGCAAACAAGGCCAGTTTCATAACGAAAACTGACGAACAATTACACTAGTTCAAGCTTCCCGTGTATTGATCAGTTATTCTACAGGGCACTAGTTACATATGTCGCAAACAAATAATCTAGTCATTTCACACAGCTCAAGCCTTCCAACGATATATTGGCCACGGGGCGCTGTCGACAAAACCACTTTCATACAACCGAATAAACGATTCAAGCCTTCCCGCGACAGATTGGTCATGGAGCACTGCAAACAAGGCCAGTTTCATAACGAAAACTGACGAACAATTACACTAGTTCAAGCTTCCCGTGTATTGATCAGTTATTCTACAGGGCACTAGTTACATATGTCGCAAACAAATAATCTAGTCATTTCACACAGCTCAAGCCTTCCAACGATATATTGGCCACGGGGCGCTGTCGACAAAACCACTTTCATACAACCGAATAAACGATCATTCACACTAGTTCAAGCTTCCCGTATTATCAAGTATTCTACGGGGCACTGGTTTAATCATTTCACACAGCTCAAGCCTTCCCACGACATATTTGCCACGGGGCGCTGTAAATAAAACCACTTTCATATGACTGAATAAACGATCATTCACACCAGTTCAAGCTTCCCGTATTATCAAACATTCCACGGGGCACTCATGGTATAATCATTTCACACAGCTCAAGCCTTCCCACAGCATATTTGCCACGGGGCGCTGGAGATATAACCACTTGCATATATTAAACTCAATAAATTAACCACTTTCATATAACTGAATAAACGATCAGTCACAGCAGTTCAAGCTTCCCGTATTATCAAGCATTCCACAGGGCACTGGTTGAATCATTTCACAATATATATATATATACGACATATTTATCACGGGGCGCTGTAGAAAAAAACCACTTTCATATAACCGAATAAACGATCAGTCACACCAGTTCAAGCTTCCCGTATTATCAAGCATTCCACAGGGCACTGGTTTAATCATTTCATACAGCTCAAGCCTTCCCACGAATATATATATATATACGACATATTTATCACGGGGCGCTGTAGAAAACATGGTATAATCATTTCACACAGCTCAAGCCTTCCCACAGCATATTTGCCACGGGGCGCTGGAGATATAACCACTTGCATATATTAAACTCAATAAATTAACCACTTTCATATAACTGAATAAACGATCAGTCACAGCAGTTCAAGCTTCCCGTATTATCAAGCATTCCACAGGGCACTGGTTTAATCATTTCATACAGCTCAAGCCTTCCCACGACATATTTATCACGGGGCGCTGTAGATAAAACCACTTTCATATAACTGAATAAACGATCAGTCACACCAGTTCAAGCTTCCCGTATTATCAAGCATTCTACGGGGCACTGGTTGAATCATTTGACACAGCTCAAGCCTTCCCAAGACATATTTATCACGGGGCGCTGTAGATAAAACCACTTTCATCACAATAAACGAATGGTTACACCAGTTCAAACTTCCCATATGGTCAAACCACGGGACGTTCCCATATTAGATTATCGAATTCGTCGATACACATGCCTGATATCAATAATCAGTTATTCATTTCAACCATAAATAACAGCATTCGAACTAGCATTGCCGCCTACGAGCGGGCCATTACTCATTAGTATGACTAATTATTAAGCCTATACTATTATTGAACAATGGGTGAAAAGATTGCAAAAGATATGGCACAAGGCGCCATATCCTACCTCAAGACACTTATTTTAACAGCAGACACTCTACTAAAATCTGGACTAAAGCAAATTTGACAAGCAATACTATAACCTGCCTTGATTAACCATCCTAACAGAGGGGAGCCATGCCCAACTAAAACTCGTAGGTCCTCGTACAAGGCGCTCATGCACCTACAAGTGAGGACGATTACGATTACATTATAACGAACACAGTCATGGGCGTACCGGAAGGAAAAAATTAGGGGGGCGGAAAGAAAATTGGCCGACTTTTCGATTTCTGCCCGACTAGTATCAAAAAAATTTTTCCGGAAAAATTATTTTGGCGACCTCTTCCCCCCCTCCCCCCGTCGCCAAAAAAATTTCGGTCAGTGTACCATTTTAGGCGTCAAAAAAGTTTTCCGGACAACCAATTTTTTTCGCAACATAACACAAATTTTCGAAAAATCGCAAAATTTGCCAAAAAATTGACTTAATTTTAGACAAAATTGAAAGAATTTGTCCCATTTTTTTTATTGCAAGCCAAAATTGCCCGACTGTTGATCGAATATTGCCCGACTGCCCAAAAAACTGGGGGGGCTACCGCCCCCCCCGCCCCCCCGCCCGGTACGCCTATGCGTCTATAGCTCATTTGGTTATTTTTGGCATATTGTAAAGTTATTCTACATATTTACTCATGCCGAGCTGTTGCGTGACTGCAGAGGAAACATGATGAAAAATTTGCGTCTTCGATTTTTTCTTAAAATGTTAACTTTAAACTTATTCATGCTGGTTATCATTGCAAGATTGCAAGCAGAACAATGTCCCAACAGATATTTTAAAATCGTCAGCAGTGGTGAGTCTTAATTTTGTTCTCAGACTCAGTTATAAAATACAATGCACAAATTAAAGTTATAATGTTCTAAATAAAACTCTTCATATATATAAGTTCTTTGAATGTTTGCATGGCGATAAAATATAATTGTTTTTGTTTGTGGAAACACCACGTAGATTTATTACTGCAAAGCTTTCGATCCGTAAGCCCGGATCTTCATCAGTGCTAGTTATTAGCACTGATGAAGATCCGGGCTTACGGATCGAAAGCTCATTGCAGTAATAAATTTACGTGGTGTTTCCACAAACAAAATCTTCATATATAGTCAGATTTAATTATCTAGAATCTCTCAACATTTTGTATACTTTATTTCAAAGAAGGTGCATCGTTACCACTGAGCTATACTTAATATATCTGGAGATCGTGCTCCAATACCTCGTCAGTCAAAAATGTGTGGCCAAAAACATGGCGGATTTTGGCCAAATTTACGTCATTTTGACGTCACAATCGACCTAAATTTATGGTGAACACC